TCTAATCTCTCACTTTTTAAAATCTTCCTCATTTTCCTTTTTTTATATTCTTTTTTTAAAATTAATATATATTTTTTTATTTTTAGGCAATTGGGGTTAAGTGACTTCCCCAGGGTCACACAGCAAGTAAGGGTCAAATGTTTGGTCTGAGATCGGATTTGAACTCAGATCCTCCGACTTCAGGGCCGGTGTTCTATCCACTATGCCACCTAGCTACCCCTTCGTTTTTCTTTTTTTTCCCTCTACTATGGGAACTGAAGAATGGTTTCCAAAATAGCCAGATGCAGTGACATATCCTTGAATACCCTAATAACTTATTAACTCTTAAATATTTCAAAGAAAATGTATCCTTTACTGTCTCCTATTCACCTTTTTTCCCACTCACTCTAGTGTATTGCTCATCATAAAATCATGTCTAGTGGATTGCTTTATAAACTATTTTTAATATGAACCTTTTAATTTAACAGTTTCAAACTTTGATGATGTTCATGCTTAAATTAATTATACTAAGTTGTAGCTCTTTGAGGATAGAGAGTATGTCTTATATTTTTCTTGTATCTTCCACAGTGCCTAGCACAGTAAGTGCTCAGTACATGTTCAAATGAATTGAAGATTCTGGCATGTGCTACATTATTTTTTATAAAGAAGAATGATGTGTATTAGATTGACAGGTAAGCTTTGGTGGTAATGGAGTAGGAGTCAAAATAAATACATCATTTCTTCCTCCCCTGTTAATTCGCAGCCAAGCCTGGGAAATCTAAGCGTATCTATTGTACAAATTGTTGTACTGCTTACTCTGGGAGAAACAAACAATTGCTCAAGTTGTTTGAAATCTAGCAAGGAAGGTCTGGGATCGATAAGGATTGACTGTGGTTTCCCCCTAGATCTGGAAGTTGGCAAGGTAATGGGAATGTTTGTTTGCTTGTTGATTTTTCAAGATGGCATACTATCCATGTCTGATGGCATATGCTACATTTCTCATGCATAGTCCATCACCTCTCTATTAAGAAGAGAAAAGTACTTTCAGTCTTTTGGAATTAAGATTGGTCATTACAGTAAGTTGAAATCTAATGTCTTTTAGTGCTATTTTCCTTTACATTGTTGTGGCCTTTGTGCGTATCATTCTTTTATTAGGTTAGCTTTCTTCAGTTTGCATCAGTTAATACAAGTCTTCCCAAATTTTTCTGAAACCTTCATAATAATTTTTTTATTATCATGCAATAATATTACATGATGTTTAAACACCAAGATTTGTTCCTCCATTGATTGAAGGACTTTTGAATAATGAGGTTTGTGGCATGTAAAAGAAGTGACAAGGCGAAAAGGAAGTTCATGATGTTTCAAGTTATAATCATTTCTTAGTCTTTTTCTGCCAAAAGGCCAGGCATATTGAATTTTATGTCTAACAGGGTGTTACTTTGCGAAGCCAAAGTAGGTAGTTCAAGTCAGGCAACTGATTAACTGTGAAGATTCTTGCCAGAAGTATGTTGCCAGCCTTTCACATATTTTCCCTACATTCATTTTTCCTTGCATTTGAATATATGGAAGGCCTTTGTTCAGACCATCCACTGACTCTCTTCTCAGTATCTTCCCCATACCCTCAAAATAAGCCATCTTTTTTAGATCTGAAACTCTATAGTGCAAAAGTCTCATCACTTATTCCAAGACTTCTCACATGATGCCTTATATTGTTAGTTATCTGCTGATGAGTATGTTTTTTGGCTCCTCCGCTTACATAAGAGCTTCTTGAGGGAAGGGACCAAGTCTTCTATCTTCTTGAGTCTTATTATGTGAAAAGTCGTATTATGTGCATAGTCTTATAAACAGTTAAGTGCCCAGTAAATGTTTGCCAACTGATTGGATCAGCAGTTGAAGTGAGGGAGTGTTCTTCCCCCTTTCTTTAATTATAAACTGGTTGAGTTCCTCATTTTCTATCAAGAGTCCTCACAACTCTCAGACCTCTGTTGTTTCTCCTTAGCTGACTAATCCCTTGCAAAATCACATTCTTGGGAATAAGGTTCATCTGTGTAGAGTTAGCATTAATTTGAGAAAAAGAACAATAAACAAGAGAGAGAGCTAAGTGTTAAATTGTGCAAATGTAGGCTATAAATGTGGTAGGAGTTGTGAGAAGGTGGAGATCAGTTATTGAAAGCTGGAGCAGTTAAAAATCTGTTGAATAGCAAAGTATTTTCTAACTATGTTTTATTCTTCATGTAGGAGGGAGGAGTTGAGTTGCATCTTGGTAAAGTTTTTAGGGATGGCAGACTATATCTGTGATTTAATAGTTCATTCCCTGGTCTCTAACAAGGCCATGCTTAAACTGTCTCAGGCAAATACCTGATAACATGTACCATTTTTAGATAACTCAAGATATGGAAATTCTACAAACTTGCTTATAAATGCATCTGGAAATTTAATAAACATGTTTATCAGAATGTTTTTTTCTTGTGATTAAGTTGGAACCACTGTGTTATAGTTCAGATACATTTTATTTTGACTTGGAGTTGGAGAGTCCTTACATGTAAAGGGAAGCTTATTCTCCTTATAGTAAGGAGGCTCAGATGTCAGATAATTGCTCTTAGGAGCATGTACCGGTTCTGTTAAGAATGAACATCTTGCAAGTAAGTTTTACCTGAGTAGATGTTTAAATAAACCCTAGTTATGCAGAAATTAATCAGAATGTAGCAGAGAGTTAAGGAGAGTCAATAGTGGTGACTTTACAGTGTTGTTATTCCTTACGAATTCCCACGTACTCCACTGGAGGTTTTGATAATAGAAAAAACGGTAATGATTGATTAGATTTCATCTTATGTAGTTTGTTTTTAAAAGGTCACTAATTGGATTTTAAAACTTTGTTATCCCTATTGAAATGGCTTGAACCAGCTTGGGACCTTGGATTGTTCGCTCCTTTCCTGAAATGTTTTGCTAAATATTGATTTCAGCGGATGCAAAGAAAACAGACTGAGCCATTGTGGTCTCAAGGAATGCTTGTTAAATGCATAGCAATCTAACTTGTGTTCATGCAGACAAGAGCCTCAAGGAGAGAATTTTTAATAGTGTTATATCCAAGTTGTAGGGGTATTACTTACAATTACAGAAGTCAAGGATTTCTGCATTTTCTTTTAGTGTCTTCCTCCCTATTAAATGTAAACATGAGGCAACTCTTATCAGAATTGTTCTAAATATTTTACTAATTTTTTAGTTACTTGAAATGGGATTTTCTTTTCTTTTATTGCTTCTTGCAGTTTGTTAATGTCACATAGAACTGCTGTTGATTTTTGAGGGATTATTTTGTAGCCTGTAAAGTTACTAAAGCTATTAGTTGTTTCAATTTGTATCTTTGCTAATTATCTAAAATTTTTAAAAGTAAACTATCATGTTATTTGCAAATAGGGATAGTTTATTTTCTCTTAAACTATATTTACTCATTTAATTTCTTTCTCTTATCTTATTGTTATTGCTCATATTTCCAGAATGATATCAAACAATAATGGAGATAGTGGACCTTCTTGCTTTACTCCTGTATTTATTGGGAGCAGAGATACTCATCTTAAAAATTATCTGCTTAAGATTATGTGCTATTTTCCTATAATGGGAGAACAGCAAAACCCACATTTCCATTTTTGTTATATATTCTAATGTCTTAATGGTTATGTACACTAGAAAAAACATTTTACTGTGGTATGAAGAATCATTTTTAAACTTTCATAAGATCAAAGGATCATAGAATTGGAGAAGACCTTATTAAAGGTAATCTGGTCTGATTTCCCTCATTCTGCAAATAAGGAAACAGAGATATGGGTTTTCTGTGAGACATTGTTATGTCTGACTTTTTGCGACCACATTTGTTATTGTTGTTGTTTTTTGGCATGTATACTGGAATGATTTGCCATTTACTTCTTCAACTCACTTTACAGATGAGGAAACTGAAGCAAATGGTTAATGATGAGGGTCACACAACTAGTGTCTGAGGCTGGATTTGAACTCAGGTCTTCCTGACTCCAAGCTGGGCACTGTATCCACTGTGCCACCTCGTTGGCCCTTTCTGTGAGATATATCACTGTATACTTGGAATAAATGATTAGACCAAAGCTAAAACCTCACTAATTAATTAATTCAGCAAATATTTATTGACTATCTCCTTTATGTATAGCAGCTATTTATTGAAAATCATATCTACGTATAGCATTGTAATAGATATTATGAGCAAGACAAGGAAGCGTCAGTGTAATTTCTGTCCTTAAGGAGCTTAAAATGTGGTCAGGGACATAGAATTCAGAACTTTTTGTGCTCTTATCATTGTGGGGTTTTCCTTCACCAGGGAGGCTCATAGTTTATTCATGACCTTTCATTTTGTGAGATTCTTGTTTATGTCTTTTCATATAGAGAGGATCCCTTTCCCTCAGAAGATCTGCTTATTAGAAATTCGATAACAACATGAAAATTAATACAGTTAAAGACAGTGATAACATAAAAAAGTCAAACTGGTAAAACTTGACTAGCTAAAGGAAAGGACAGTCTGAATTAGTGACAAGTCTGAACTAAAGAAGTTTTAAAAATAGTAATGCCCTTTAATTTCTTTCAAGTATATATAGTAACCTAATTTAAGACTAGCAATTACCAAACAGATCCTGATAGAGCTGCTTAAATGATAAGCATGATTTATATTTTGTATGTCAATTTTTTCTGTTACCTGAACTGGGTGTGCCCAGACCAGCTTAGGTTATACATATAAATGAAGAAAGTTCTTTAAAACATTTTTTAAATAGAATATTCTCCCTTCCCCATCTTGTTACACTATTAATTTGATTAGCAGTACTTTTCCTATGGATAATACAAAGAGAAGTCTCATGCCATATTATCTTTTGATCATAATTCTGAATTAATAATATAGTTAAAAGATTGGGAAGTTACAGGTATCTGATACTATTTTTCAAAAAAGGAGCTACTACAGTATTTATGTCAAGCGTTTTGTTCATCATTATTATGTTTGCAGAGGTAGCATAAGGGGCCTACAAGCAAGAAATATATTTAGAGAAAAACTCTTGTCTGGATTTCTTCGGCTCTTTGCAAATATAGGACAACATTTTCCTAAAAGGAAATTAGAGGTAAGTATCTTTAAAAGGAGCTTACACTAGGACTTCAGGAAAAGAACTATTAGAAATACAAAACCACTTTAGAAATGAATGCTTTGTAAATATTACCTCTACAAAGCAAAGCTAACCCACTCTTCTCCCTAGCACAAATCTAGTTGTGAGAACAGTTCACAGAAATATGGATTTTTAAATCTATTGACTGTGTCATTCTGCAGATAGCAAAACCCCTGCTAGGTGGATAGTCACAGAAGTTAATTTTTAACTACAGTGTTACCTAGTTCAATATAAATGCCTTGATCTGACCACATCTGGGGTATTATGCTGACTTTTAGGTGCCACATTTTATGAAGGATATTGATAAGTTGCGCAGAATGTCTGGAAGAAGGCAGTCACTATGGTGAAGGGCTTTGAGATTTTGTCATGGAAGGATTGCTTGAAAAAATTGGATATTTTTAGCCAGAAGAAGAGAAAACTGAGAAGGAATTATATAGGCCTTCATATATTTGAAGGGCTTAGATATGTTTTGCTCCCTTGCCTGTTCAGTGTTATGAAAAACTTCTTACCTAAAGTGGAATGGGCTTGCTTTGGAGGTAATGGGCTTCCCCTTACTAAAGGGGACTTTTTGCCTAGGCTAGATGATCTCTTGTTAGGTATGGACAGAAGAGGGTCCTTGTTCAAGGATGGGTTGAAGTTAAATGGCTTCTGTAGCACATGTTCTGGAGCTACCCTCCCAGATTCCACTTACAAGAGTAGGTTGGGTCCCCAAGGGGTTCTTGCTACTTTTCCCCTTGTATTTCTAGGGGACCTTAAGGAACTGGAAAGATGTCTTTCTGGTGCTGTAGCACAAGCCCTCACCAGTGTGCTTTTCTCCATAATTATCAGACTAACTGAAGTTAATCATCAAGATTTAATTGGCTTTTAGAAAGAGTGTGTTTACTAAGGTCGAATAATAGGAATAGTTTGTACAAATAGGAAAGCCAAGATTTGAATCCTGGTCTTCCTTCCTCAGATCAGTTTCTGGGAATGTTTACCCTGGGGATGAGAAAACTGGTTGGCATAGGGGAGGGGGACTGTGGAGGAAGACATGAAAATTGTCATTAAGAATTTGAAGGACTAGGGCAGCTGGGTGGTACAGTGGATAGAGTGCTGGGTCTGGAAACAGGGAGACAACTTCCTGAGTTCAAAACCGACTTCACATATTTACTAACAATGTGACCTTGGGCAAGTCACTTATTCCTGTTTGTCTCGGTTTGGTCATTTGTAAAATGAGCTGGAGAAGGAAGTGGGAACCAGTCCAGTAACTTTGTCAAGAAAGCCCCAAGTGGGGTCATGAAGAGTTGGATATGACTGAACAACAACAAATTTGGAGGACCATGGAATCATATCAAATTGATTAATACTGGTTGGAATAGAGCAGGGGTCCAAATGAATTAACTTTATCAATCATGTGAATGAGAGTTAAAGCTTTTTCTGCTTGGCCCCAGGGGGGAAAACCAGAAGCAATGTTTAGAAGTTACAAAAAGGCAAATTTAGGCTTGATGTTAGGAAAAATTTCCTAACATTTGGAGGGAAACAGACTGTTTGTCAAGGTGGTAGGTTACCCCATCAATAAAGGTCTTCACTTCAGATCCAAATCTGGATGACCGCTAGTCAGACACATAGTAGTGGGAATTCCTTTTGTTAATGGACTGGACCAGGTGGCTGCTGAGGTCTCTTTTGAACTCTGAAATTCTGTGGTTTATGTAAAATACATTACTATTTCCACTTTACTATGAGCCTTCATCATCTGAGAGTATGACTGATTTCTGCCTTTGAAAATGGATGTCATACTCAGGCAGGGAGTCAAAGGAGGATGCTGCTAGGGTAAATATGAGTGATCTTACAGTAAAGGGCTATGATGGGCTATACCATAGCTAGAATGGGTTATAAAACACTGTATAAAACTATAATGAGCTACACCATTAGGAATTTCCACTTTCCAACCCCAGCGTTATTAAAAAGTTAAAGGATATATGGGAAAGCATGGGATGAGACATTGTATGGAGGAGATAAGATCTGCATTGATGCTTAGGCAGGATTGTGAACCTGACAAAGTAACAGAGTCAAAAAAGGTTTTATGTTTTCCAGTCTTCTTTTTCATGACAACTTCCTCTATAATAAACAATCTTAAAATTCTTATTTCCTAGGAAAGTGTGTTTTTGAGGATGTGTTTTTAAATCAATATGACGAAAGGCATACGCTTTTTTAAAATTTAAGCTTAAGAGAGACCAAGTTTAAATCATTTAAATTTGATTACATGCACTTGGGCAAGTATCTTGGCACTTCAACTTTTGCAACTTCAAACACATTTAATAAGTCCTGCTACTTGTTCCCTGTTCACAGGGAAATTCTGTAAAGTCCCAGCTCTTAAAAAATGCAATGGGAGGCCCTGAGATATGATGAACCTCCTATCACTGGAAGTGTCTAATAGAGGCAAGATGACCATGGACATGGGACATTTTAGAAAAAATTTCTGCATTGGGCTGGGCTGATGAATAACATGAAGACTTCAAGACTAATTATTTTGCTATGTGACAGTGGATTTGGTGATGTGTACTTGAAATACAAATCTACCACTTCCTAACCATGTGTTCATGGGTAAATCATTTAATCTCTGAATCTGTTTTTAACCTGTAAAATGGGAATATGAACATTTGCCCTACCTACTTCACAGTGTTTTGAAAATCAAAATAAGCTAAAGTATGTAAAGTACTATATAAACTGTAAAGAGCTATACAAATATTAGGTATTAATATTTTACCATAAGAGCAGAAATTTGCCCTTAAAGTTGTATGAGATCCTTTGAAAATATGTGAGCATATGTGTGTATGTTTTTTTATGTATATACATATATGTCTCTGTGTATATATACACATGAAGAATATATATTTAGTCATATAGTGCTTGTATTATGAATTATATTTTAGTGGGAAAACATACATATGTTCATAAAATGGTTTAGGGTGTCTAGCCTAATTTATTTATTTTAAACAAATTCTTGGCCAGTGTAGTTTTGCATAGCTGGTTTTAAATCATTTTTCCCTTTTTGTTCTTAAAATAGTAGTAGATCATAACTTTTTTCTTTTGACTCCAGAATTTTTAAAAAAAGAGAGAAGCCTTCTTATGGAGAGAAGACTTTTCATCGACATCTCTCTCCAAATCTCCAGATTTATGCCTGGTTCATGAATAAATAACTTTCCTCAGGAGACAGTCTTAGGAAGCTTTTCAGCTCAGGGATTACTGCAGCACACCTTAGGAAAATACCCAGGGATCTGTACTGACAGACCTGCTTTTGGACTTACCTCAGAAAGCAGGTAAGATGATGGTGCATCACATCTGCATAATGTCATAGCATAGAAGTACCCCACATGGGCAACTTAACTGGATTTACTGAAGACCATACCCCGACTCCTGAGTTGGATAATTGATTTTCAGGCCTTCTTTTTTTCGGAAAGACATGATTAAATTTCTGTGTCAGACCTTACACAAAATTCCATTTTGTACCTGCCCAATGCAATTATTAGGATTTTGTTTTATAGCTGCCTGTTGATGTCTCATATCCCATCCTAGATAATCAGCTACAAGTCCCTTGGATTATCTAAACTTTTTCAAGTCTAATACAAATTTTTGTACACATTAGATACTTAATTGATTCTGCCTCAGAATATAATAAGATCCCAGAAAGCAGGGACATTTTGGAAAAAAAAAGTGTTGCCAAGCACTTTGAAAATACTGAATAAGATGCTTTTTGAATAGAATTGAATTGAATATGGGGAGAGAAGAGGGAAACACATCTGTAGATAATTTCTGCTACTCCATCCCACCACCTTCTTTGTTCTGTGGTTCAGAACATTTATTCCCATACAGAGACACGTTGGATCTTTGAAAAGACCATACATAGTGAGGCCTTGGGGTCAGTCAATCTAGTACTTACTATTAACACTAACTCTCATTTTATGTAGTATTTTAACAGTTATAAAGCCCTTTGCATAACTTAGTTGATTATATGCAGCCCAGTGAAGTAGAGTATATGAGTATTAACTAACCAATTTACAGGAAAGGATTAGAGAACCAAGGCTTAAAGTTTTAAGTGGTTTGCCCGAGGCCACATAATTAATTACTGGAAGTGGCTGAACTCAATAGCTAAGTCTCTAAGCACAGTGCTTTCCCTACTCTGTCAATAAGTCTAAAATTATTGTCCTAGGGAAATCACCCTCTAGACTCATAATGCCTCAGACTTTTTCATTAAGGTAGTAGCTACCAGACACAGTGGATGGAGTCAGGAAGATCTGAGTTCAGATCCAGCCTCAGACACTCACTAGCTATGTCACCCTGGTCGAGTTACTTAACCTTTTTCTGCTTCAGTTTCCTCATCTGTAAAATGGGGATACTGAGAGCACCTACCCCTCATGGTTGTTGTGAGGATTAAATGAGAATATATTTGTAAAGCATCTGGCTCAGAGAAGGTGCTTAATAAATGCGCATTCCTTTCTCTCTTTTCATCTATAAGATTTTTCAATACTAATACGTTAAAGCCTCTCTTCTCACTTCTCTCACAACCTATATTATAAGTTATCTGAGAGCAGAGATTGTGTCTGGTCATTTCCTTTTACTCCTTTCAGTACTTAGCACAGTGCTGAGTACATAGAAGGCAATGTGTTTTGGTTGACTTTTAGAATTCCATAACACTTAGATAATAAAACCTTTATTTTTTATTATTGTTTTCTTTTTGTGAGGCTGTTGGGGTTAAGTGACTTGCGTAGGGTCACACAACTAGTGAGTGTTATGTGTCTCAGGCTGGATTTGAACTCAGGTCCTTCTGACTCTGGGGCGGGTGCTCTATCCATTACACCACCTAGCTTCCACTATTATCGTTTTCAAATGAGAATTTCCATCTAGATAGATAGGTAAGTAGGTGGATAGATAGACTTATAGGTAGATAGAGATGAATAGGTTGATAGGTAGGTAATCAAATGTCATGGAAATTCTCATTTAAAAATAGATACATCTAAAAAATAGTTACATTACAGAGAGATCTAGCAGGAAAGAATTAGTTATCTCATTTAGGGTTTTTTCCCATAACCGAAGGACTGGAGACCAATAAAGAAAACCCACAGTAAGTTCAAGGAATGACTTTCCCTCTGGGTGCTATTCCAAGTTGATTTCACTTAATAGCTTGAAATGTATCTGCCATGAATTTGGTCTCCAGATGTTACACCATTTGACAGGAGATGAGGGATGTTCTGAGTAAACCAAAGTTATGGACCTATAGAATGATTTAACAGATCTTGTTTTATTTGTGGAAGATCCAAATTCATGCACTGAAATTTATTTTATTTTAAATATCTTGTAGTAGTTCTTACTGAATGGCTCACTTGTAGTAATCATATTATTTTATTTCCTTGTAAAGTTCAATTAGCAATGCCTTCAGTTGATACAAATAGCTGTGGGTTTTGGCACTCGAGAGTGTTTTACATTAGTGTTTTTCCATGAGCCTTTCAGTTACTGCCAAATGCAAATTAGGAATCAATGAGGAAAACAATAATCTCCTTCTCAGATGAGCTATTATTGAAGGCAACTTCACAGTTCAACATGAGCTGAACAAAGGATGTAATGGAACAATGACCACTGAGAAGGTCTCATTTTCTTACCCTCCAGCAACTTTTCTCATTAAAACAAATACCAATGTTTACAACTAGAATATTTATTATGGTGGACTTATGTAAAGTTTTTGATTTTCAGCTTAATAAGGTTCCTTAATTTATCCACAGGGTTGAAGTAAGAAGACTCAGATGATAAGAAAAAATTGGAAATGTGAGAGTGATGATAGTTTTAGAGTGATTCCCACCCATAGCTTTGTGATATCAAAAAAGAATCTGAAAGTGACCACCAACTTGGTCAAAATTGTTCATGTCAACTCTTTTTTTTTTTTTCAGGACTAATATCCTTTCTGTCTAGATGCTAGACTTTTTACCTCTTTAATCAGAAGTTATCATACTGTTTTCAGCAAAAGAAATTGCTAGGGCTCGAAAGAAAAGTGCTTTTCTGCCTAACTGCTGGTTTCTTGTTATGCAAGAGCCAGAAGACCCTTATGGGATTATCCCTTCATGTACTGTATGACACTGCATCTTGGGACAAATACGATGTTTAGGGAAGAAGATTATGTCATTCATAGGCTCACAGTCCTTATGCAGACACTGAGAAGAATCTGACTGCAGAAATATGATGGCCATATCAGGCCATCACACAGTTTATATCTTCCCATCTTAGCAGGAAGAAACAACTGAGGAAAAACATAGAAAAATTGCTAGAATCGATAAAGTCCAGAACATGCTTAATAAACCTAAAAAATCTCAGAATTTGGTTGAAATGATTCTGTATTATACCAGGCACCCCCTTCCTGTTTTTCCTTTTCAGATAAGCTATATGACAAATGTGCATCTTCTACAATAATGTGAATAGGAACAAAGAATGAGAATCTTGATTTTCATTTTTAGTCTATGTTTATAAGACTTAAACAACTTGGAAAGCCTGCAAGGATGCATTATTTATTCTCAGATTGTGGGGATTTAAAAAAAAAATTTTTTTGCTCTTTTTGTCCAGGCACTGTAGGAATCCACCATTGCTGGGCTAACCTGTATTCTTGTGACAAGGCAGGGGAAGGTAGTCCTGAGAGGATTTTTGGACTCTCAAAGCAGCCATTTCGTGGAGCAAATTGAGGCCAGACACAAAACACTTTGGGATTTTGACCTAAATCTTAACCCATTTATTTGCTTAGTATAAATCTAAATCTTCCTCCTCCATAGCCCTTCATCTTGAAAATGTTGTTTGCAAAACCTACTGTGTACTATTTGTGTTTTAAATTAAAGATGGTGAAAAAGAAGGAATGAAAAGTGGTAACACAATCATTCCAATGACTGAGTTTATTGGACATATTCTAAGCTTACTTAATTATTGATGCAGACTATTTTTTTCAACAAATGTAATTTGTCATAAGATTATTCAGTATAAGTTTAAAGCAATATTTCACCTTTACTATGTGTTCCTTCCATTTCTGTTTTAACTGAAAGACTGAGCTTGCTCTGTAACATATCACTTCCTTAGAGACTCTCTGACATGGAGACTATTCTACTCTTTTCCCTTTACTCCCAAGATGAAGAAGAAAGGTTGATATTTCCTTGCTCCTTTCTGTCTCTTCCAGACTAGTTTCCCCTACAGTTACTCAGCAATCTCTTATTCTTTGTACTCCATGCCATCTGTCCCTTCAACTCTATTCTTGTCCTTATTTCTGACTTTTACTGACCTCTAAAACACACTTCCACTTTCTTCAGTGTATATTCAAAACCTGTATCACAGTTTTTTTTTTATTCAGTCATCTGCTATCACCCTTGGCACCTTCAACATCCATACTGATGATCTAGTACTATGGTCTCACATTTCCTCACTCTTCTTAACTCCAGTGACCTTCATTTTTAAGTTCACGTCTATTGAGGTATTGAGGAACAGAAATACAGCCTTGTACTTCTTAAACCTTACTACAGATTCTATTGATAATATATAAAACCCTGATGGTAAACATACCCCCCAAAAGGCTATAAGGATACATGTAATAATCAGCTTTGGCTACTCAATTTCTAAGCTGACTAGTGTGGTCTTTGAAGGGAAAAACAAAAACACAAATAAGCATATATAAGTAAGTTTCAGTAAAATAATCCCTATCTAGAATTATTAGCTTGGTCTAAAGGGCAACAGTGTTAGGAATAGCACTGTGTTATCTTGAGGATGGCAAAACAAACCAGACCTTTTAAAACCTATGTTAATTGAAGATGGCTAGGTGGGTCAGTGGGTAGAACACCAGGCCTGGAGTTAGAAAGACCTGAATTCAAATGTAGACTCAGAGCTTTGGGACCATGGGCAAGTCACTTGACCCTGTTTGCCTCAGTTCCTTCATCTAGAAAAAGAACTAGAGGAAGAAATGGCAAACCACTCTGGTATCTTTGCCCCACCCCCCAAAAAAACCCAAATGGGGTCAGATAGAGTCGGATGTGACTGAAATGACTTAACAATAAAATTTAAGGTACCTTTTGGATAAATATATGAATTATGAATTAGCTAGATAAAAATGCACATGGAAGTTCCTTTGGGGTTGAGGGCTGCAATCATGGATTCATTAGTAATAGTAATAATAGCATTTGTATAGTGCTTTAAGATTTGCAAAGCACTTTATAAATATTATCTCCTTCAAATCTCCATCTGATATTTATTATCTGGGTGACGTTGTGCATTTAACCTTCTTGAGCTTCAATTTTTCCAT